CTCTAAGATTGGTAATGTAAACATTTTTGAGCCTCTTTACAATAATTTTAATTGCTCTTTCGATTGATCTTGATTCCGCCTAGATATTTACTCTGGAAATAAACAACATTTTTTGAGATGATGCAGGAAAGAGAAAGATTTTTGAGGATGATATTACGTTGAAGTCATTTTGTCGCCGGAAAATTCGTTATCTTTATTTATTATTTGTTTTTGTCATTAAAAATTTCTTAATAAGAACTAATTGGGGTCTGAACGAGAAAACATCCTCTCAGTTATAGGTTTGTTCGGTTTGCTGTTTACTCTTATGTATTAGATTTTTTTAATTATGGGTTTAAATTCCATAACTTTATTTCTTATTTTCCCTATAAACATAGAAACCGTTCCTTCATATCCCTATTTTTCTTCGACTGCATAGCATGCTGTATAATTTTTTTCTTTTCGATTTTTTTATGTTCCCATCATCTGCTTTTCTGAATTTCCGCAATATCTATCTTGTATTGTTTTAACTGTGTCAATAGTTTTTTTATTTTTCCTGTTTACTGCAGCGCCCTCACGTCCCATGTTTCCATGGTTATTGTTATTTTCTTTCTTTTTTGGTATTTTTCTTATTCTTCTGAATATACTTGGACTCATTTTTCTCTTTGTTTGCATTGTCTGTTTCCGTTTCATCCATCCATTCTTCTTTCTCTAAATTTTTGGAGCATTTCAACTCTTTTAGATCTGATTTTTGTATAAGATTTTTGTATAAAAAAGATATTTTTTTTGTAAGAATTAAATCTTTTAGCGAAAGCCGCTATCGCTGTATGTATTAAATGGCCAACTATATGGCCTAGGAGACAAATTCGTTAAACTTCCCGTGCTCGAATTGGTATCACTAAAGTGTTATGATCATTTCGGCCTATCCCAGCCATCGTCAGACACTTGGGCTGATACAAATTCAAACACGGAAAGTAAAACGAATGTCTCCCAATCTTCACTACCGTGTAGTTAGCTTATAAAGGCGCCCTCTATTTTGAAGGCCGTGAACGACACGATATGAATAATCGTTTTCTGTATCCTTTATGCTATGCGAAATGTGTAAGAATTAAATCTTTTAGCGAAAGCCGCTATCGCTGTATGTATTAAATGGCCAACTATATGGCCTAGGAGACAAATTCGTTAAACTTCCCGTGCTCGAATTGGTATCACTAAAGTGTTATGATCATTTTGGCCTATCCCAGCCATCGTCAGACACTTGGGCTGATACAAATTCAAACACGGAAAGTAAAACGAATGTCTCCCAATCTTCACTACCGTGTAGTTAGCTTATAAAGGCGCCCTCTATTTTGAAGGCCGTGAACGAAACGATATGAATAATCGTTTTCTGTATCCTTTATGCTATGCGAAATGTGTAAGAATTAAATCTTTTAGCGAAAGCCGCTATCGCTGTATGTATTAAATGGCCAACTATATGGCCTAGGAGACAAATTCGTTAAACTTCCCGTGCTCGAATTGGTATCACTAAAGTGTTATGATCATTTCGGCCTATCCCAGCCATCGTCAGACACTTGGGCTGATACAAATTCAAACACGGAAAGTAAAACGAATGTCTCCCAATCTTCACTACCGTGTAGTTAGCTTATAAAGGCGCCCTCTATTTTGAAGGCCGTGAACGAAACGATATGAATAATCGTTTTCTGTATCCTTTATGCTATGCGAAATGTGTAAGAATTAAATCTTTTAGCGAAAGCCGCTATCGCTGTATGTATTAAATGGCCAACTATATGGCCTAGGAGACAAATTCGTTAAACTTCCCGTGCTCGAATTGGTATCACTAAAGTGTTATGATCATTTCGGCCTATCCCAGCCATCGTCAGACACTTGGGCTGATACAAATTCAAACACGGAAAGTAAAACGAATGTCTCCCAATCTTCACTACCGTGTAGTTAGCTTATAAAGGCGCCCTCTATTTTGAAGGCCGTGAACGAAACGATATGAATAATCGTTTTCTGTATCCTTTATGCTATGCGAAATGTGTAAGAATTAAATCTTTTAGCGAAAGCCGCTATCGCTGTATGTATTAAATGGCCAACTATATGGCCTAGGAGACAAATTCGTTAAACTTCCCGTGCTCGAATTGGTATCACTAAAGTGTTATGATCATTTCGGCCTATCCCAGCCATCGTCAGACACTTGGGCTGATACAAATTCAAACACGGAAAGTAAAACGAATGTCTCCCAATCTTCACTACCGTGTAGTTAGCTTATAAAGGCGCCCTCTATTTTGAAGGCCGTGAACGAAACGATATGAATAATCGTTTTCTGTATCCTTTATGCTATGCGAAATGTGTAAGAATTAAATCTTTTAGCGAAAGCCGCTATCGCTGTATGTATTAAATGGCCAACTATATGGCCTAGGAGACAAATTCGTTAAACTTCCCGTGCTCGAATTGGTATCACTAAAGTGTTATGATCATTTCGGCCTTTAGTGACACTTTAGTGATACCAATTCGAGCACGGGAAGTTTAACGAATTTGTCTCCTAGGCCATATAGTTGGCCATTTAATACATACAGCGATAGCGGCTTTCGCTAAAAGATTTAATTCTTACACATTTCGCATAGCATAAAGGATACAGAAAACGATTATTCATATCGTTTCGTTCACGGCCTTCAAAATAGAGGGCGCCTTTATAAGCTAACTACACGGTAGTGAAGATTGGGAGACATTCGTTTTACTTTCCGTGTTTGAATTTGTATCAGCCCAAGTGTCTGACGATGGCTGGGATAGGCCGAAATGATCATAACACTTTAGTGATACCAATTCGAGCACGGGAAGTTTAACGAATTTGTCTCCTAGGCCATATAGTTGGCCATTTAATACATACAGCGATAGCGGCTTTCGCTAAAAGATTTAATTCTTACACATTTCGCATAGCATAAAGGATACAGAAAACGATTATTCATATCGTTTCGTTCACGGCCTTCAAAATAGAGGGCGCCTTTATAAGCTAACTACACGGTAGTGAAGATTGGGAGACATTCGTTTTACTTTCCGTGTTTGAATTTGTATCAGCCCAAGTGTCTGACGATGGCTGGGATAGGCCGAAATGATCATAACACTTTAGTGATACCAATTCGAGCACGGGAAGTTTAACGAATTTGTCTCCTAGGCCATATAGTTGGCCATTTAATACATACAGCGATAGCGGCTTTCGCTAAAAGATTTAATTCTTACACATTTCGCATAGCATAAAGGATACAGAAAACGATTATTCATATCGTTTCGTTCACGGCCTTCAAAATAGAGGGCGCCTTTATAAGCTAACTACACGGTAGTGAAGATTGGGAGACATTCGTTTTACTTTCCGTGTTTGAATTTGTATCAGCCCAAGTGTCTGACGATGGCTGGGATAGGCCGAAATGATCATAACACTTTAGTGATACCAATTCGAGCACGGGAAGTTTAACGAATTTGTCTCCTAGGCCATATAGTTGGCCATTTAATACATACAGCGATAGCGGCTTTCGCTAAAAGATTTAATTCTTACACATTTCGCATAGCATAAAGGATACAGAAAACGATTATTCATATCGTTTCGTTCACGGCCTTCAAAATAGAGGGCGCCTTTATAAGCTAACTACACGGTAGTGAAGATTGGGAGACATTCGTTTTACTTTCCGTGTTTGAATTTGTATCAGCCCAAGTGTCTGACGATGGCTGGGATAGGCCGAAATGATCATAACACTTTAGTGATACCAATTCGAGCACGGGAAGTTTAACGAATTTGTCTCCTAGGCCATATAGTTGGCCATTTAATACATACAGCGATAGCGGCTTTCGCTAAAAGATTTAATTCTTACACATTTCGCATAGCATAAAGGATACAGAAAACGATTATTCATATCGTTTCGTTCACGGCCTTCAAAATAGAGGGCGCCTTTATAAGCTAACTACACGGTAGTGAAGATTGGGAGACATTCGTTTTACTTTCCGTGTTTGAATTTGTATCAGCCCAAGTGTCTGACGATGGCTGGGATAGGCCGAAATGATCATAACACTTTAGTGATACCAATTCGAGCACGGGAAGTTTAACGAATTTGTCTCCTAGGCCATATAGTTGGCCATTTAATATATTTTTTTTGCTTTATTATTTTTTACTTTAAATTGTAGTATGCAGTGGTCCTATAAGTCATAATATATGTATATTTTTAAAATTGTCATTAAGTTTGAAAGAATAGGAAAAAATATAACAAGAAGTGTTTAGGATGACGGTGGCATTGCCTTTATCTGAATGAAGAATGACTAGATTTGGATGTGACCGACTTTTTTTTCAGCACTTTTTCTCGGATTGAGTAATGTTCGTAGTAGGAGGCTTTGAGTTTCTAAAAACTCTTAGAAACCCAACTCTTGTGCGGACTGTCCCTGATCCTATATAGAAGAAATTAATCGCAGAATCCAAAATAGGATTAATGAAAATTTCATTTCTGTTCGGACTTTCGACTCAATTTTAGCTCCTATTTCAACACCATCTTGATAAAGGTCACAAAATTAATTTCGAGAACTCCAGAACCATGGCCCCTATCCGCTTCTATAAACCAAGAATTATCCGACAAGCCATAGAGATCGAAAAAATGCCAAATTGTCTCAATAAAAGAGATCACGGCATACGGTTACCTTCGACTTGGAGACCTCTTATAAAGAAAACGTCGCCCACGCCAATCTTCGCGTTAATCCCCACGCGAACCTCCACCGAAACCATGTCACCATTGACGGTATAAATGAACCGTCCTTTATTACCAGTCCTAGTAACGCATTGGGTAGGATCAGTGTAGCAGTGTCTGGAGGCTCGGGAGACTGAGACCTTAAAAGTCTTGAAAAAGACATCGAAGAGGATGTCGAAAGCATGGCGTAATTTGGTTCCGTTTTCAACATTTTGTTGTTTAGCGTAATAGGTGATAATATAATAAAATATGAGATATAGCAGAATTCTAAAAAAGTTTTTGTATTAGTCAACTTACCTTTTAACATTTTTATATACATGCCCACGTTGCACAATTTTAAACAATCTTCCTTATTTTGAAACCTATTGTTATTGCCATAACAACCACCATACATGCGTTTTACACATGTTTGTGAGGTTTTATCGTAAAACCATTGAAGTATCATTTGATTACAGCTCCCTAAAGATATTGGAAGTTTGCATCTTTCTAGAATAAAAAAATATAGAGGGAACTTTTATGACAGAGCATAGTGTAGTAATTATGCAAGAAGCACATAAAAACACGGTTTGTTCCACGAAATATGTTGAAATCTTAAAATTGAAAGCACAATTCCATGACAAAAAAGGCTCTATATAAAGTATATATTTTATGTTAAAGGCTGCCTACAATACTTTTTACAGTGCTATCAAAATAATAAAATTTGTAATAGATATTTTTAATATTTTTGTTAAATAACAACCTTGAATTAAATTTTGGAGGTTAACCAAACTCCTTAATTATCTCACCTTATTAATTCCCGGATATTATTACCTCTAGGTTTACCTCTACTAGTATTTATTTTATATATTTTTCTAATACCTGGTTCTAGATCTCTGCTTTTTAGATGTCTGATCCAGTCTTGATAAATCTGATGAGGTATTGGTACCTTTAAAAGTTTCCCTTAATTTTCGGTTCATAAATTTTATAAATTTACCTTTTCCTTAGTACCATTTCCTAAGTACATTGTTTCAGCACCTTAGGTGAAAATTGTGGTCTAATTGTTTCTTCATAAATTTGCAGTTTTGTTGTTTTTGGAGGCAAAGGGAAGTATCATTTACCTATTATAATAAAACTCTAATAAATGCCCAAGTGATCATAATTAATTAATTGAGACCTTTAGAAATAGAACCCACCTCTGCTAGCAAATCCTGCTCTCACGTATATGAAGACGCAATGTGTCAGGTAACCACTGGGTTTATGTCATTAAATGGGTATACGTTATGCAGCATACGAGAGAGTGTGGAACGCGAATTTTTAACGCTATAAAACTAAAACACATCGGCTAAGAGAATAAACAGCGATTCCAAATCCTTGGGAGTTGGAAGCCAGAATGGATAAGCAACTCCGCCTCTATAATACATCTATAAACTATAAACTTTTGGCTTTTAAGTCACTGAGAATTAGTGCGTGAAATGTACAAGTAATAACAAATAAATATTGTGAAATAGAAGAGAAAATAAAAAAATAGATGGTATGTATTATAAAGTTATCAGAAACAAAATGAAGTGTCAACAAAATAAAAAAATGTCATTACACCGATTTCGAAAGTTTGTTGCGATGTAATTAAAGTTTTTGGTGATATTACATCTTTAAAAGATAAAGTTTCTGGTGATACTACATCGTTGAAAAGCAAAGGTTCTTGTGATATGTGCGAAGTCTCTACGAACATTGTTTCTTTAAAAAATAAAGTTTCTAACAAGCTTTATCTTCTGCAAAGCACAATTAATATCTCTTTTGGAAACCTCCAATCAAAGTTGCTGCCGATATTTCGTCTTTCTAAGAAAATATAAAATAATTAAAAATATTTCCTTTTTTGAACAGAAACTGAAAGACAATGAAGAGAAAATAAAGGAAACAGGGACGGCAGATAAAGGAATTTAATCAATTACAGTAGAGATAAAAGACGAGTCCAAACTTTCGACGAAAAATCGTTATGGATAACTACATAAAACAGTTCGAATCAGCTGCTAAAGCGAATGGATGATCCGAAAATTAAAAGTTTGTTCGAGAAGATGTTTGGATGTGATTTAGATCATAGCCGTAAAGAAGACAAACGATTTCGAGCAACTTAAGAAGAGTCTAAACATGTGATATGGTTATAAACACTTGAAGCATGTCTACCAGTTACAGTTGAAAAATGGAAGACAAAAGCCAGTCACGGTTTTTCAAAAATATAAGGTAGATATTGCTTGGTTAGTGCGATTTTATTATCCCGCAGCTGTTGAAACATGATAATGAAAAAGTTGGCTATTCCAATATTTATTGATGATCTTTGTAATCATGTAATGCAGAAAACACTGCGATTACCCGTCACAAGCCGTGGCCAATTTCTTTTCCGTTGCCATCAAATATAAATCATATTAGAATTGTGGTGAAATAGGATACGAATGCAGTTAGATAGCCAGATAGATTAAACGGCTCAGTTAGCCACAGGAATGCTGTCTCTCTTTAGAAACCCTTATCCAGCAAAATGTTCCCACTGCAATAAAACAGAATTCACGAAAGTAGCAAGAGCAACAGTGGTCATCGAGGAGGGATGGACACCTACTAAGATCAGACAAGAACAAGAGAAAAAAAATCCAGTTTTATAAAAAATTCGGAAATGGAAAGAAGAAATTGGTCGACCGTCTTGGCAAGAAGTATCAAACCTATCCTCTGTAGTTAAAACGTGTTGTGTGGGAAATGATGACTCTGAGAAGCTAACACAGTTGGTGATTCCAAAGAGCAAAATGACCAAAGTACTTCGTCAGTTACACGACTGTCCATCAGAATGGCATTTTGGTGTGAAGAAAACCATTTAGTGAATTCGGGAACGGTTTTATTGAATGAATAGTTGCGACTATTTAAACGCTTGTAGAAATGTGCTACCTGTGCAAGGAGTGAACCCCTTACCGAACCCCTTGCCGTCACTATTGCAGAGGTGTTGATCAAAAAGTACATCAGCCGATTTGAGGTACCTTTGGAGATCCACAATGACCAAGGAGGGAACTTTGAGGGCAATTTATATAGTAAGTGTGCGATAAACTAGGCATGAAGAAAACAAAAACTAAAACCTATCACTTGCAATAGGTAGTAATCGTAAAGCGAATGAAGACAGTTGGCAAATATTTGGCAAAAATGGTGTCCAATCACCAGCAAGACTAGTACAAATACATTCCGTTCTTCGTAATGGTCTACATTTCCGCTGTTAATGAATCAACGAGTCCAAACACCAGTAAATATCATACTTGGATCCCAGATGAGACTACCTTGCGATCTAGAGTTCCGAAATGTCGACCTGGAGAAGATGAAGCTGATGCAGATTATGTAGACGAATCATGGAGAAGTATGGATAATATACACGAACTGGTCTGTTCACATCTTTAGATCGTTAGCGATAGGATAAAGAAACGGTACGATACTCAAGTCAAAATGGAATGTTTTAAGAAGAATGACAAAGTCTGGGCTGTTCATGTCAGTTGGCTTAAAGAGGGTATAACTTTAAATTTACTATATTAGTTTAATATTGCATTATTGAACAATAATTAACATGTTTTTTACAAATCTTACGTTTCAGCGGCTTTCATGTATATATTTATGGGGTCAGACTCTGAACGTCTATTGTTGAACATACGTCTCCACTCCTTATTTTTAACCCTGTCTTTCATGCACGGTTTTCATCTAGTTTTTACTCATTTGCTTTAAGGATTGAGTTTTTGGTACGGTGGATACCGGACACTTTGTTTATCTATCTTCATTTTATTCAAGTAATTTAATAATGTGACACTTTAGTTAGTTTTCTTATATCCTTTTCTTTAATTCTTTCTGATAGATTTATTCCCAGCGTGGATCATATCATTTTTCTATGTGCCACGCTCAGTTTAGTGGCTAAAGCTTTTGTTAGTTTTGTGAGTCTTTATGCTTTGTACGGTAGTACTGGTAGAATGCATTGGTTATACATTTTTCTTTTTAGATTCATCCGCAGAATGTTTTTAAATGTTTATCGTAGTTTTCTATATGTTGACCATCCAACGCATACTCAAGTTTTTAGTTTATGTATTTGGTTATTTTCCGAAGTGGAAATTGAAACGTCAATGAATGTATTTTGTTTTCTCTGCAAATTCTTATTTCACGTCTCAGATATTTATATTGTAACAAAAATGAGACTTACAGTTTAAATTATATATACTGATAGGTTGTTTCTCTCTCTCTTCAATCTTCATTCCCGGCGGGAGTGTAGAGGTCATCGTGATGTCGTGTATTGTCTGTCTCCAAAAATCTTTGTCTCTGGTCATTTCTTTTAACTCATGCATAGGTCTTTTGCATATTCCTGTTGTTGGGGATCTTCCACGTGATCTTCGGCTTTCTACCATTGATTGAATAAGTTTTTCGTGTCTGCTCTCATAAAATTTTCAAAGTATTTTAATTGTTGGAGATGGACTTTGCAGGATAGCTCTTTGATGACTCTTAGCTCATTAAAAATTGAAGTATTTGTCCTTTAGTCGGTCCACAAACTTATGGTTACATTTTTCTTTAACAGAACATTGCAGTGGCGTCTATCTTTCTTCTTTCAGCTCTTCGTAGGGTTCAAGATTCACATCCGTATGTCAGTATTTGAAATCTTAAGTATTTGGTCGACCTCATTTTTAGAGTTCGTAAAATTTAAGAGTTCTTCCGTATTTTGGCCATCTTTCCTAGGGCGTCTTTTGCTAGATCACATCTACGTTTTATTTCTTCATGTAGTGACCTGTCTTTATAATCAATAATCCCAGATATAAATATAAACTCACAACCTCAAACTGGTTAACCGTGATTATTTGTGGATGATTGTTATGTAGTCTATCCATTATCATGATTTTTCTCTTTAATATATTTAACTGCAGACTAAATATGTATGAGATCAATTAACTCTTTTTGACTATTTCAAAAAGGGCTCTGCAGCAAAACGTAGTTTGTTATAATAGGCAGAGAGAGGGAAATAGAAAATAGAATAAAAGAAAGAAAATGGCAATATCTCGGACATGTAATGAAAGGCAAAATATTTAAAATCCTAATTCAAGCTCAAGGCAATTGTTCAGAGCAGCTGCCTCGAAGGTCAGAATAGCCATGATGATTGCCAACCTTCGTCGCGTTTGGGCTATTTATTGAGATGCCCTTTTCCCATCTTGCGTTCTTCTCATAATATATTTCTCATATATATATATATATATATATATATATATATATATATATATATATATATATATATATAAATAAGGATCACTCAGATGAGTGGTGGGTTCAATTATCGGTCAACTAGGTGGAGAAATAAAAGACAAAGTTGATACTACTTCATCTATTTTGAAGACGTTTCGCTATCGAATTCTGATAGCATCATCAGTTCATCTAAAAATTTTTACATTATGAGTACCACACATTCATGGAGAAGATGTTACATAGTTACCTTAAAAAAGAAATGTAGTTGTCAA